GAGGAGGAGGAGGAGGAGGAGGCGGCGGGGAGGCCGCGCACGCCGCGCCCGCCGCGCCCGCCGCGCCGGGGGAGGGGACGGGGCTGACACAGCAGATCCGCGCGCGGCGGCCGCGGGGCGGGCTGGGGGGCGCTCTGGAAGGTTCCGGGAGCGGGGGAGGCGCCGCCGTGACCTTCGGGGGCCGCCGCGGCCCGGCCGTGAAGGTGACGCGGGACACACGCGGGGCCTCCCCGAGGCCTCCCCGGCCCGGCCCCTCCGCGGCGCGGGGCGGCCCCGCGGCGCCGGGCCCGAGCGCGGCGCCTCGTTAATTGCGTTAATTAAACGCCCCGGGGGTGGTTCGCGGCGGGGCGAGGGGCGGCTGCGCCGTTGGCGGGGCCCGGCGGGACGGGGAGCGCGGCCCGGGCCGGCCCTGGAGGTCACCGGGGAGGGCGGGCGCGGTGTCCCCGGAGGCCCCGGGACGGGGCTGCGGCGCCTCGCGGCCCCTCGCGGGCTCGGCGGAGGCCGTTCCAGCCTTTGCCGGACGGACCCGGGCGGCCGCTGGAAACTTTGCACCGAGTTTTGTCCCGAAAACGTGCGCGGAGCCAAGAGCTGCGGGATCGGTGGGGGGGGGAGTGGCGGCTGGGGGGACGGAGGGGACCGGGGGAGCTGTACTGGGTCTGTCGGGGGCGTTCCAGCTCAGAGGGGTCCCTGCCTGGGGGGGTGTTCGGCTCGTGGGGTCCTGCTCGGAGTTTCTCGGGGGTGGTGGTGCTGGTGGTGCTCTTAACGCGAAACGCCGACACGTGCTCTGCGGTTCAGGCCCTCCGAATAAAAAGGCTCGGGAAACGGTTCCTCTCCCTTGGGCGAAATCACCGCAGAAGAATCGCCAAACCTCAGCTCTGAGCTGGGAAGTTACGTGGCTTCACCCGAGAGGAATAAAAGTTGTCGTGAGGACGGTGACAGGTCTTGAGGGTTCTGGGTTTGCGGCGTTTGGCTGGAAGAGGAACTGCCCGGGCTGAGGGGAGCCGTAAGCAGCGGCCTCAGCCCAGGCTGAGCGTGGTGAGAGGGCCCTGGAGCAGGAGGTGGCCCCCCTTGGGCACACGAGGCAGGTTCTGGAAGGGGAGCAGTGGAGCTGTGCTGGGAGATGGAGCCCATCAGCCAGCGGGCACATGGCTGGTGGTGATGTTGTGGCTGAGCTCAGGGGGAGCTGGAGCACATCCCCACCTCGGGGTGTTCAGGGAGTCCCTCTAAAAACACCAGCTCTGCTCTGTCTGATCTCCTCCCTCTGGTGGTGGTGGGAGTTTCGGTGATCTCCCTTCTGGAGGCCTCAGTAATGTTCAGTTTTGAGTTCCCGAGGACCACCTGGGCTTTCTGAAGGTGCCTTTTGGCTGGCAGGACAGGGGCTGGGGCCCAGAGCCTGGTGTCCTGGGCCGCTGCAGTCGGATGCTCGGGAGCAAACAGCAGCTTTGCCTCTCAGGAACTTTGGGGGTGCCTGGAAAATAAGGCCCAGGGCAGGACAGTGGTGGACATCTCGAGGTCTCCAGGGGGACTGGCTGCTTTGCTGTAGCTGTAGGTGTTTGTTTTAGACCCACCTGAAGTGTGAACGTGGTGACTGTGAGTGGAGCCTTTCATGGGATGCAGGGAGTGAGGGAAATTGGGTTTTCCTGTCACATCTTTAACTCCAGTGCTGCAGTGAGGGCTGTGTAAGGCTCGTGCTGTCTCACACGCTGATGTTTGGGGTCAACCTTGTTTCTCCCTCACAGCCAGGACCCGTGTGCTGTTCACAATCAATAATTAGCTGCATTAGGAATATTATTAAAAGCACTGGGGAAAAATGGGATTGATAATGGCTGCTGGGGGCTCTGCTCAGGGGGGTAGGTGCTCCTAATCCCATCTGTTTGTAGTTTATGGGGGAAATGGAAGTCCGTGTGTTCCAGGTGGGCGAAACGCTGCCCGTGATGTTTCCTGGTTGGAAATCCAGGGCTGTGGCCAGCACTGAGCTCTGCTGGCCCTCTCCTCCTGCAGGTGAGGCTCCTGGCTTCCCTCTGGCTGACCAGCCCCCCCCCGAATTGCCCCTGTTCACACACCTCTGCCACAGGTACCCCCTTTACACAGCCCCCCCTGGGTACGGGGGACTCATCCCAGCCTTTGGAAAACCCACCTGGTGGGAGCGACACTCCCGTGACCATTAACGTGGGTTTGAGAGTCACCTGGGGCGCTCAGAGCATGGGACTGTCACCTGAGACCTGCTGGCAGCTCCTGAGGAGCTTCTCCTCATCCAGCTTCACACCCTGGCTGAGCTCTGAGAGGGTGACTCCTCTCCAGGAGGTGACAGTACCTGCTCTCTGAGGAGGTGACAGGTGACTCCCCCTGAGGAGGTGACAGTACCTGCTCTCTGAGGAGGTGCCAGGTGACTCTCCCCTCCAGGAGGTGACAGTACCTGCTCTCTGAGGAGGTGCCAGGAGCCCCCACTATGCCTGAGCCCCCCCAGGGGTGTTCCCTCCTGCCTCTCCCCCAGCCAGCACAAGGTTTCTCTCCCGTGCTGCCTCCCGTGGCTTTGCTGACCTTGGGGTTTTTCCATCTGCTTACGTTTCCACTTCTGGAAAAAGGTTTAGCTTCTCCCCCTCGCAAGTTTTTTGTTAAATTCTCTTCTGGATTTTTCGGCTTTGATTCCCTCTTAGTCTCTGCCTGCTCCGGGAAACGTGTCACAAGCTCTGGGTTAAGATTTTGGTCGCGGGATGATTTGAGTTAATATTAAAATGCTTTAAACCTCCAAGCGCTTGCATTTTTGTCAGCTTAATTGACTCTGGTTAAATACGATTTAAATGTAATTACAATAAGAAAAATATCCTTTTCCATCCTTTCAAGAATGAGAGTTGGCTTCAACAGTCATTTTTTTTTGGGGGGGGGAATTGCTGGAGGAAGATCTTTGATCCACGTTTGCTGTGCCGAGGGCAGCTTTGTCAGCTCGTGGGTCCCAGCGAGTGTTCCCAACCTTTGTCACCCTGTAAAGCTTTAACCTCGTCATGAAAGTTCCTGATAGCAGCTGGGAGGATCGTGCTGCAGCCAATCCCACAGGCCAGGGCTCTGGATCCTCGCTTAAACAAGCAAGAGTTGATAGTTTGGCCTTCTCCTCTGAAGAGCCGCTCCTGGGGCTCGGCACTGTGGATTTCCCAAAAGCTGATGTAAATTAGGGACTTTTTGTCCTCTCCAGACCGTGGGGTTCTGCTGTTGAGAGGGGTGAGAGCAGGGCTGGGTTGTGCAGAGCTGTGTTCCACCTCACTGAGGGTTTCCAGCCCAGGGGAAGTGGCCCACGCTCTGTTCCAGGTGTGTGTCCCAGCCATTGTGTTCATGGGCCATTCATCACTTCCCAGCCCCAAATCTGTTTGGTTTCTGAGCCCTTCCTCACCTGCACCTGAGATTTCAGAGCTCTGGTGTTGCCACGTGTGCCTTTGGTCTCTCTAAGGTGAGGGACATCCTCTGCCATCCCCAGAGCTGCTTTTAGTCCTGATCACCTCCAGAAGCGCAGAAACTGCCCCAAAAGTGTTTCAGTTTCCCTTTATCACAGCTCTTCCTTCAAGCTCAGTGCTTCCCTCAGAGATGTAGGTAGTGAGGCAGAGTTTATTTTTAGAGAATGAATGAATCATCTCCTGGTTGTGTCTTGTCTCATTTTGCTTTGATGAGAAGTAGAGTCAAAGAACTGGGACCTGCTGGGTCTGGGTCCCTGAGTGCACGTGGACGGGTGATGCTCTGTCCCAGGAGGGCCCAGCAGCTGAGCAAGGTGGAGTTTGGAAGTGCTGAGCTGCAGGGACAGAGCCTGGGGGTGCAGCAGCTTCCTGGGATTCCCTTCTCGGGTTGTTTTGTTGGAGGATTGCTCTGAACTCCAAAGGGAAACGCACGCGTGTCCTTTCACCCTGAACTCTTTCCAGTCCTTTCTGTTTCCAGCTCTGTTCTTGGGCTGAGATTAACGAGAGGGGAAGGCTGTTGCTGTTGGGAAGTTTGAGAGCAGGAACTGTGGTCCTTGTTTTGCTTCTCTCATGGTTGTCTTGAACCTCTCCTGTGTTTGGAGGCTTCTCGTTACCGGCCTGGGTCCTGTGTTTGGAGGCTTCTCGTTACCGGCCTGGGGCTTGTCCTTGCAGCCAACAGCTTTGGCACGAGGTGTGACCTTGGCAGAGGAATTATCTCTAAAGCTATTGCAACTGCTTCCTTATCCTTGTGCTTTGTGTTTGAGGCCTGGTGGTGAGCCACTCCTTAACTTCAGTACCCAGGAGGCCAGGCTCCGAAATATCCAACTTCCTCATCTGGGAGCTGGTGGATGGGAGCTGGATTAGTGGCTTTCACCTTTTAAAGTCCAGCAGGAGCGAAGTGGAGCATCGTTCAGTGCCTGGAGGAACTGTGTTAGTGGCTGGAGGAACTGTGTCAGTGGCTCGTGGGGCGTTTGAACTTCCTGGGGGGAGAATTTTTGCAGAAGGGGGGTTTTGTTGTCTCCGTGGAAGGAGCTGTGTTGGGCTCCTCACCCAAATGCCTCTGAGCAGCTCTGGGAAAGGGACTTTGGAGGGTTCCACCTTGTGCTGTGGGAGGGAGCATTTCTCTGTGCCAGGTTCCAGGCTGGAATGCAGCAGTTCCTCTTGTCTGTCCCATTTTCAGCCCTCTCCCTCTAATCGTGGTCCTCGTTGCCCGTTCCCAAGGTGAGAAGTTCCCCTTCTCCCCCCGGCAGGCCGGGATAGTGTGCAGGTTTGTCTTGGCACTTCCAAATCTCCTTGGCTGCAGGTTTAAGGAAATGATTGGTGTCTGCTGATGTGTGTAAGGTGTAGGTGATCCCTGGGGGGACGGGGCAGGGCTCAGGTAAGTTCAGGAGGAGTCCTGGCACAGCACAGGCGATGCTTGGTTAGTAGAGATGTCACTAATTCCATAAGTTATACAGTTTCTGCTCCTTGACATATGTTTTTTTACCTTCCTTTCTAGGAAGGGGTCTGGAGGAGGGAAAATTTCCCTTTCTGGTGAAAGGGGGACTGGAGCATTATGACAGTCAAGTCTTTAAAAGCTTATGAGTTCCCAGAGTCCTGGCCGGTAGCCGCTGCCTCCGCTGATGTTGTCGGATGTCAATAGAGAGAGGTTGAAGGCAACACTTCTAATGGAGGTAGAAACGAAATACTTGGAAAATACCAAGGATTTTCCTGTTTTGATTAACGAAAAAACAAAATCACATAGGTGCTTTAATAGCTGGGTAGACACTTGAGGTGTGGAACTCTTAGAGAGACAATCACTAAATTCTCCTGTCTTGTCTTGGCTTGGCTTTCTGGGGCTTCCCCGGCTCGTTTGCACTGACAGAGGTGTTGTGGTCTCTTCAGCAGGTGACATCGAAGGGGGCTGGCTTGAACCCCAACGCCAAAGTGTGGCAAGAAGTCCCCCAGGGGAGTGGTGAGGCCGTGCCCCCCTCAGATGGCACCGAGCACACGTGGCAGGAGACGGCGGCGGCCCAGGGGACTCCGGCCGAGGGTGAGATGTGGGGACACGTCCCCTGGGGGACACTCAGGGCGAGTTCAGCTGGGAGGAGCAACCCCTGGGCTCTCGTCCTGGAGGTTGTCAGTGCTGAGGGAGCAAAAAGTGTGAAATAAGTGTGAGAGGAGGCAGCAGGGGGTTTATGGAGGTGACGGGTCTCACCGGTGGGCTTTGCTTCAGGGGGTCGAGGAGGTGTCAGAGCTCTGCTGGGACAGGACACTTGGGCAGGGAACAGGATCCAAGAGGCCCAGTGATGACCATGTAACGCGCTAGGAGGGAGCAGGGTGCCAGATGTGTGGGCATGGGCTCATGGCATCGCTGCACTTTGGCATCCGTGGACCCTGTGAACAGGAAAAGGAGGTCTGAGGGCCACCTGCCATCCTGGGGACACCGAGGGGCTGCTGAGAGCTGGCAGGAGTGCCCAGTGCCCACAGATTGCTCCTCTCCCTTCGGTCTGTTCCATCCCAGCCCTGTTTCCACCCTGACCACGTGGGCAGTGCCCCCCAGAACTGAGCGCTCGGGTGGCTCTGGTTTGGCTCAGGGGTAACTGAGGTGACTCAAAGCACGGCAGAGGAGGCAGAAGATTCCCTGCAAAAACAGCTCAGTCAAAGTCAGGGATAAAGAAGGGGGGGATTCAGCTCGTGTGGCCCTGTCAAAGGTTTCTGGTAAGTCAGCAGAAGCGAGGATCGAGCGCCGGGTTTGTGCTTTGCCCGACAGAAACTCATTTGTCTCTTCACAACAAAGTGAAGCAACCCTGGCAGTGTAAGCGATTTTCACCCCTTGTTTTTGGGAACCTCGCTTAAATATTTTAAATTTCTCGTGGAAAGACTGGTTTTTAGATCCTCTCCCCCTTTGGGGATCAGTTTCAGGATCCTTTATTTCCTTTTATTTACTTATCCCCCGAGAGCCTGGTGCAAACCAGAAGGCCTTTCTGAAACTGGAGAACTGGAAAGTTCTCTCCAATACAAAGTCTGAGACATACAGACTGACTTTAGACACTCTCAGTTGCAGCAGTTTTGGGGTGTTTGTTTGTTTTAGTGTCGGTAGCCAAAGTTTTTCCCGTGGGGAATTCTCCCGGAGCTCACGGGAGTTTCCCTGCTGCTGGGGTGTCCCTTTGGCAGGTAACATAGAGCTCTCAGAGGAGAGCTGCAAGCAGTATGAAGTGATGTATTCCCCGTCCTGTGAAGCCACGAGGAATGGCACAGGAGCCGACGAAGCCTCCGCCAACGGGATCGTCCTGGCGACCGAAGACCTGGGATACCAAATCTATGAAGTGTCTGGTGAGTGCTCGAGTTCAACCACTACTGTCAGTGCCTGTGACCCCCTGCAGTTTGCTGCAGCTGTGCTGTGACCCAGGAGGAATCCTGGCACGTCCAGGGCTATCCCAGCAGCTCCAACACTTGGCCAAGCAGGTGCAAGCGGTGGGGTCGGAGTCGTGTTGGGAGCGTGTGGAGTTCTTTAAGCACCTCAGATGAGCTTTTCCCCCTGCTCCTACCCAGAGGGATTCATTCTCCTGGACAGTGAGACGTGTCCTTGCACTGTGGGGATGTGGAACTGGGATCTGATGGGGGGTGTGGTCCCTTCCAGGTGACGGCCCCTCCGCCGTGTCCACGGAAGACATCAGGGAATGTTTGAGGAAACAACTTGAATTCTGCTTCTCCCGGTAGGTGCACTTAACTCAGCCTGCTACAAAGCCTTCACTAAAATCCCTGACAAATTCCCTGGTTTTGGCTCGGTGTGTCCCATCATCTTGCTAAAAACACAAGGTTTTTATCAAGAGCAAACCAAGGTTTGCTGACGTGCCGTGGAAACCCCCGTGGCACCTTCCAGCTGTTCCAGTCCCGTCTGTGCGTCCGTGTCCTCGGGTGAGGATGAACCTCCTGTGCTCTGGAGTTGTAGGACCTCGAGATAACTTGGCTGTGTGTCCCCAGGAGGCTCTTTGGCAGATCCCTTTTGCAGGCCAAAGTGCAGAGCACTGGAACTTTCAGGACATTTTTTAAATTGCTTTGTGTCGGTCTGGTGGGATTTGTTCCAGGAGAGAGAATTTGAGGGTGTTTCGGCTGTGAGTGGAATTGGGGAATATTTAAGCCTGCAGTGATCCTGGTTTTTTGAGTCTTCTGGGAGTCAAGTTCAGGATTTTTATGAAATCACGATTTTGTGTCTTTTTAGTGAGAATCTTTCAAAGGATCTCTACTTGATGTCTCAGATGGACAGCGATCAGTTTGTTCCAATATGGACAATTGCCAACATGGAAGGGATTAAGAAGCTGACAACGGATATGGACCTTATTCTTGAAGTTCTGAGATGTAAGTCTGGGGGCTTGGGGGGTGTGTCAGTAGGACAAAGAATCCTGGTGCTTCAGAGAGATGGGTCAGTCTCTGAGCTGGTTGTGGCTTCTTGTGCTGGTGCAGGGTGACAGGAACCTCCCTCTGCAGCCGTGGCTGAGTAAGAGGCTGCTCCAGACTCCTGAATTCTCCCCCTTTGTTCCAAGATCCATACCAGGAGCCTGTTCCTGCCGAGGTGTGCTCGGTGTCCCACTTTGCTCTTTGAATTTCAGCTTCTCCCATGGTACAAGTGGACGAGAGAGGGGAGAAGGTCAGACCAAACCACAAGAGGTGCATCATCATCCTCCGTGAGATCCCCGAGACAACACCCATAGAGGTAAATCCAGGGAGAAGAGGGAAACAAAGGTTGATGATTTTGGAAGGTTGGCTTCAACAGGGCTTCAAACAGGCACCAGGAGAAGGTCAGCTGGTGTTTGATGTGATCAAACAGGGATATTTTTCTTGTGAACCACATCAGTAATATTTTCCTCCTGGGTGCGCTGTCAAAACAGCCAAAACAAAAACTTATTGCCATTGTGCCTTCCCATTATTTACTACTATATTTAAACCTTCTTAAGTAAACTCCTTTTTTTTTTTTTCCTTTCCACCAAAGCTGAGCTAGCCTGGCTTCTCTGGAAGGAAGTTTGAACTGGTTTCTTTTCAGATCCAAAAATAAATCAGTCCAGGGGCACAGCTTGGAATTCAGGCTGAATTTTTGTCACAGCAGTAACTTTACTTGAAGTCAGACGGTTGTTTTGGCAGCAAGAAATGTTGCTGAACATTTCTCATTCATTGTGCCCCAGCGTGAGCTGAGCTCATTATGTTCAGAGAAGGGAGGATAATAAAATTCCTCCTGATACTTGGCGAACAGAATGATTTAGCTCTTTGTTTTTTAAAAGTTGTAACACAGGGTGTTTGTCTACCAGCATTTTTAATGAGTTCTTTTAATGCAAACGCTGCACAGCTGCTTGTCCCTCTCTTTACAATCTGATTATTGCAAAAATATTAAAAAAACCCCTGTCAGGTTGCCTTGACTTAGGAGTATTTCATGGAATCATTCTTGTCTCTCTGATTTAAAGCCACACCTTTGCTACCTGTTTTCTGTGGAAATATCACACAGGTCTTGATTTTTCTGACCACCTGATCCTGCTGGGTTTTGCCTGGGGAACTGGGGAGGCCTGGAGTGGGATGTGTGGGTTCAGGAACAGGGAGAGGATGACGTGGTGCCTGCAGAGCCTGTCAGGGGAACACGAGAACATCCCTGGTCACGGGAGGGAGGGGCTGGAGCTTAAACCTGTGTCTCCTTGGTGTTCACTGCCCAGCTCAGAGCCAGGTGCCCTAAACTGGCCTGGGTTTGTCTCCCCAGGAGGTGAAGGCCCTGTTTAAGAACGAGAACTGCCCCAAGGTGATAAGCTGTGAGTTTGCTCACAACAACAACTGGTACGTTACATTCCAGTCCGACACAGACGCGCAGCAGGTAAGGCCCCTCCAACCCCAACACCCCCCTTGTTAGTCCTCCCGTGTTAATTGCACATGTGCTTCCTGTGGCTAAGAGAAATATTTATTTGCTGATCCCCCTTTTGTTGTTCTAAGAGATTACTGGCAAATTCTGGTTAATAAGACTGAAGTTGGGAGATTATTCCCTTGTCTGCCTCTTGCCTCGGCACTCAGTGACCACGGCTGGCACTGGAATCCTGAATTTGAAGTGTTAATGGATTTATCTGGGCTGGCAGGGAAGCACATTTGTGTTAGATCATGTAATATCCTTTGGGAAGTAAAATTTTATCAAGATATTCTAATGTTGATCTTTTTTTTTTCTTTTTTTTTTTTTCTGTATCTGCAGGCGTTTAAATACTTAAGGGAAGAAGTGAAAACCTTTCAGGGCAAGCCAGTAATGGTGAGGCTGCTTTATTTAGCTGAGCTTTCTGTTGGAATGGTGTTGTTTCTCTTTGGATGGTGGGGACCATTCTTGAGGGGGGGGTGGGACCAAGGAATTAGCAGTGGGCTGGTCCATAACTCCTGCTCTGAAGGCTGGAGACATGAATGAGGTCATGGGTAGCTCTGACAAATTACAGTTCAGTGGCTGCTGGTTACTCACAGGGGGGCTGAAACACATTCCTGTGCCATCTTCCCTTCTCCACATTCCCCAGAATCTGGGTCTGCAGAGCTCAGGACAGGGATTCCTGCCCCTGTGAGTCCTGAGCTGGCTGCAGCACAGAGCAGGCTGGAGCAGAGCTGCCTGTGCTGTGAGAGGAGCTGTCACCACTGGAGCCCGGACAGTCCCTGCTGTAGTTTGTCTTCAGCTTGACAGATTCTCCAGTCCAAGCAACGTGTGCCCTTCCCTCCCCTCTGTCGCACTGCGAGGGCGTGAGCTGGGCTGACTCCTGGCAGGTTTTATTCCTGAGCAGTAACCAGCCCTTCTCATCCCTTCTGTTGCAACTCAGTAGGCAGGGAAGACTCCGTGTTGTGCCTCTCCCCCTTTCCTGGCTGACCTGGGCTGGGCTGTTGCTGTCTTGCAGGCCAGGATCAAAGCCATCAACACGTTCTTCGCCAAGAATGGTTACCGGGTGCTGGACTCCAGCGTGTACCCCCAGCCCGTGCAGACCCAGGCCCAGTTTGCCTCCCCCCTGTTCATGCAGCCTGTATATAGCCCTCAGCAGTACTCCATCTACAGCATCGTGCCTCAGACCTGGTCTCCAAATCCTGCACCTTACTTTGAGACACCACTGGTGAGTCCCGGGGGGGAGTTGGTCCAGCAGCAGCAGGCTGAGGGGGTGTTCAGCTGGAGAGTGCCCAGGGTTTTTTCTAGTCAGACCTCTCTCTTTTATGACATTTGTGCTGTGGACCTGATAAAGCATAGAATCATTGAATCAGCTGGGTTGGAAGGGACCTCCGAGATCATCCAGTCCAACCCTTGATCCAACCCCGCCGTGGTTCCCAGCCCATGGCACTGATGCCACATCCAGTCTGTTTTTAAACACCTCCAGGGATGGAGAATCCACCCCTTCCCTGGGCAGCCCATTCCAAGGGCTGACCATCCTCTCTGCAAAGAAATTCTTTCTAATATCCAAACTAAACCTCCCCTGGCACAACTTGAGACCCAGCCCTCTTGTCTTGCTGATGGGAAAAGAGACCAACCCCCCTGGCTCCCCCCTCCTGTCAGGGAGTTGCAGAGAGTGAGGAGGTCTCCCCTGAGCCTCCTCTTCTCCAGGCTGAGCCCCCCCAGCTCCCTCAGCCTCTCCTCACAGCACTTGTGCTCCAGTCCCTTCCCCAGCCTCGTTGCTCTCCTCTGGACCTGCTCCAGGACCTCAAGCAGGACAGGCTGCCAGCCTGGCCACTGCCTGCCACTTATTTCAGGGAATTCTGGTGTGACATTCCACTGTCCAGCAGCTGGTGTTACTGGAGGAGTCTGTAGCTTTTCCAGGACTCTGCTAAAGCAGGTGCTGGCTGTTCCCAGGGGGGTTTGGTTTGTCTGGAGAAGTGAGTTCCCACCAGGGAGATGCTCCAGCCCAGCGTGAACTTACACCCTGCTGAAGCTCCTCATAAACCTGCCAACGTTTTCCTTTGCAGCTCAGCCCCACTGAGAGTGTTCTGTCTTGTTGCAGGCCCCCTTTCCCAATGGTGGATTTGTGAATGGCTTTAACACACCAGGATCATATAAAACCAATGCTGCTTCCCTGAGTATAGGTCGCCCATTCCACAGGAATCGGTAAGACAGCTCTTGGAAAACTTCCACTGCTGACATCCTCAGGTGTCCCTTGTGTGTGTCACAGGGGGGAACCAGGCTGGTTATTTCATTCATCAAACCTGTGTGATGGTTTTCAACTTGATTTGAAAAAAATAAATAAATCAAGGTGGCAGCTTAAAATCCTTAAAAAAAAATAAAAAAATATTGGAGACACGTGCTGGAGAGAGCAAAGGTAACTCCTTTAAAAGCCTCAGAGGAATTTCTGCAGACAAATAACTAACTTCCTCTTAAGTTAATACTTGTAATGATGTTTGTTCTACGCAGATTATGAACTCCAGCAGCACTAACATAAGCCTTTCCTGCTGGGATCAGCCTTGCAGAGCCCTTGGGTTCCTGCAGTGGGAGTTGCATGCCCTGAGCTCTGCTGTCTGTTCCTGTAATTTATTTGCTTTATCCCCCATCTTTCCTGAGAGCTGTGAGGACTCAGCTGTAAACACTGGGGAGGAGGAAACACTTTGTGTTGCTCTGGGAATACAATGGAGCGGTAACCTGGGGGTGGGAATTGTTTGTGTGCAGCTCAGAGAGGGGCCAGGGGAATTGCTTTTTGTGTTGTTGGAGGACTCAGCTGGCAGTGCCAGGGCTCTGAGTGGGTCTGTGGGTGCAGCTCAGGTCGGGGGCTGTTGGCAGAAGGGTCTGTGGGTGCAGCTCAGGTCGGGGGCTTTTTGGCAGAAGGGGAACTTCAGGATTTGCTCTGCGGTGACTCAGCAGAGTCTTGACACAGCCTGTGGGACTGGGAGGGTGGCTCTGCTTGCTCCAGTTGCAGCTGCTGAGCTCCCAGCTGCCATCTTTACAAAGGTGCTTTGGCTCTTTTTTCTCTTTTGCCTTAAGTTGTGCCCCAGCCCAAGCCTGTAAAGCTCAGAAGTGTCGGCGCGTTCCCGGCGTTCCCACCTCGGAACGCCCCGCGTTCGCTGCTGCCCCGGAGATCACAGCTGTGTAATCCCTAAGCTCCTAAAATCCGGGCTGTGTTTTAGTTTGGGCAACTTCACCCCCTGAAGGGGCAGCTTTAGGGGTGGGACTGTGCAGGTTGTGGCCCAGTGATGATCAAGTATCGCGCTAAGAGAGAACAGGTCACGGTCGGGCTCTGGGCAGCCTTGCTCCTGCTCCTCCTCCCTCCTGCTCCTCCTTCCTCCTGCTCTTCCTTCCTCCTGCTCTCTCCACATCATCTCTCCTTCTCTCTGCTTTTTTATTTTTGGTTTTTTCCTCCTTTATCTTTCCTCATCTTTCCTGCTTTGCTCTTCTGCCCAGACGAGACCGCGGCCTTCTCGATGACGGGTAAGATTATGAGATCTGAGGGCTGCACAGGGACTCCAGGCTCTGCCATTCTGAGGACAACTTCAACAAGATGGAAGAATTCACTCAACTTTCCTCCTCCTCCTCCTCTTTATGGGCTCTGCTGATGGAAAACTTTTATTGGGGGCCTTAAAACTGGTTCTTGGTGCTTCTCAAAGCTGTGAAATGTGAATTAATCCCTGTTCAGCACATCCCCTCTTGAGCTGCAGAGGAGCTCGTTCAGAGAGGTTCATTCAGCTGCTGCCTTTGGGTTTCTGTGCTGGCCCATTAGGCCTGATTTGTCCTTTAGGCAGTTAATAGTTAAGCATTGGGTTTTTTCTCTGTAGCTAAACATTTGTTTAAGCCACTTGTATTTATTTTGCCCTGATTTGTTGCAACATCGTTGTGGGAAAGGGGGATGGAGGAGTCAGACCTCGGCTGGCAATAGGAGAGTTTCTTCTGATTGCATGGAATGTTGTAATGAGACTGTTTAAAAACAACATAAGTGTGCAAAATCCTCCTGCTGTCCTTAAATTAGGAGATGTGCAGAGTTGACCAGAGAGGGGAGAGAGAGAGTTTAAATTCCTTGTCTCGCTTTCTGCAGCTGGTGGGTGCTGCTGGAAAAGGCAGGAGTGGAAAACAGTCCAAGGCACCCAAATGCTGCCCCAGAAAACTGTTCCATGCTGTGCTGGGGCAGAGTTTTTCTGGGGAATTCTGCATTTAGGCCCCCGTGCCTGAACTTGCAGCAGCACTGAGCGTGCAAAGCTGTGTCTGTGCTCAAGGGAACTGCAGCTTTAGTGCTGAATAATCAATAACAGGGTGAAATGTCTGGGGATTGGGAACTGCAGAGTCAGTGCTGGGGGTTTGGGAATGGGAACAGCGAGGCTGAGCCTGGCTCTGCCTGGAGGGGGGCTCAGCTGCCCTGGCCTGATCTCCCATGTTCAGTCACCATCTACTCCTGGCCTCATTTCTCAGTTCATTTGTTCCCCTGTGGCCAGATGTGTTTGTTCCTTGGGCTCAGCTTATTTCTCCAGGTCCCTCTGCAATGCCCTGTGCCTTTGCTGCAGGCCCAGACAGAGGAAAAATCCCTCTTTGGGCTTCTGGCTCTGCTGCCACCGCTGGGTTTGGGGTTTTTTTTTCTCCCTTTGGTATCTGTTGGGCAACGACCTCAATATTTCCTGTAAACGGCAACATTTGAGGGGAGGCTGCAGGAAAACCATAACAGAAGGAATCCACGGAGGTGGGGAAGACAAATGTCTTTATTCCTCGTGAATGCACGTAGGAAAGAGCTTCTGAGTTGTGGTGCTCCCTGACCTGCTGCTCTCCTGGCCCCGAGGTGAGCTCAGCTGGTCAGAGCAAAGTGCTGACAACACCAGGGTTGAGGCTCTGATCCCTGGGGGCTCCTTCCAGCTCAGGATATCCTGTTATGCCGTGGTCTGTGGGCGCTGTGTGGGTGGTTCTCCAGCCCTCTGGGGGTCCCTCAGCTCTGTGTCTCCGCAGGGTGAAGCCCCATTTCCGCTCCTCCTCCAGCTCGGAGCACGCGGAGGGGCCGCCCGCCCTCGGGGCCGTGCCCATGGGGGACCTGGGCAGAGCCAACTCCAGGAGCTTCGTCGTGGAGCGGCACAGCAGCCCCTTGACCGGGCACCAAGACCAGGGGTATTCCCAGAAGGATTCTCCCACGGCACAGCTGGAGCAGAACGGGGATTACGGCGTCGGCAGGGGCAGGTGAGGAGCCGTGTCCTGTTTGCTCAGGTGGGGCTCGGCCCGAAGGTCATCGGCCACGGGCACAAAATAACATTTCTCTAAAGGCCAACCACGAGAAAACTGGCATTGAACTAAAGCAGGAGTGATAAAAGCTGAGCTGGGAGCAGGAACAGCTTCCTGCTCGAGTCCACACCTGCTGTTTACTCTGGCAGTGAGGGGTCTTAATTTTAAAATGCCTGATTTGTCCCCAGAATTAAAAGAGTCGCTGAGGTCAAGTTGGCAGCTGCGTTGCTGTGAACAATAAGCAAATCCTCAGCTGCCAGTTTGATGCTCTGCAGTATTTTAAGATTAAGTGGTTTTATCTTTGCTCTGTGAATTCGGGGTTTAGACACTTAAAAAGAAGTGTCCAGGGCAGATTGGTGAGAAGTCAGGCCAATAAGTTGATGGCTGTAGAATTACAGCTGTCCCTGTGCTGGGTGATACTCTGCTCATCCCTGGGGGTGAGGGAGAGAAGTCGTTCCCATATTTCCTCTGTTCCAAGAGCATCAGAGCCTTGACCCCTCCTGAGGGTGGAATGCCAGGGATACAGTGAATCCCAAATTCCCTTGTGCAGAGCAGGGTCAAGGCACTGACTGAGGGTTTCTTGTCTTCCAAGGAGGAACGTGTTCCGAGGTCGGAGGAGACGGGACGACGACCGGGTTTCAGTGAGTTCCCCTTCCCTTATTGCAGGGACTTGCTCAAAGTGCAGCTTTGCAGTTCTTGAAGGAGTGGCAGAGCCCTTAAACCCTGGGATTAAATTGGGGGTTAACAGTTTTTCCATGAGTTTCCCTGGCACTTGCTCGGGGCTTTTCCTGCTTGGTGCCACGGCTCTGTTAACGGGTGTTTTCCCTCTCCAGAGACCTCAGCCTTCAGCAGAAACAAAGACTCAGACACCAAAGTTTGACTTGCTTGCATCAAATTTCCCACCTTTGCCTGGCAGCACAGCAAAAATCCCGGGAGAGCCTGTGCTGGAGAGCAGGATGGCCGACATTGTGAAAGGAGTCTGCAAAGAGAAGGTGCCCGCTCCCGTCTCCCTCTCACACACGGGAGTATCCCTGTGCCAGGACTCCCCTTTTTCCCTGCTAAAGAGTCAGTTTGTCAGAGCCACACGTTGGAATGCTTTAATCCCAAGCTTCACACTGTGTGTGATCACAGAATAGTGCATTTTTCCTGGCTTTTTGTGGGAATGCTGCTGTTGTAAGCTGGGAACGAAGCAGGGAAACCAGGAGTGCGGTGGCTGTTGGGGTAGGAACAGTGTGGTGGAGTGTGGGCAAGGGATCTTTGCAGATGAGCCTGTTCTTTGGGCTGGTGGGACTAAGCACTGAGAATTGGGCTGATCCAGCCCTCCTTCCCCTCTTCTCCCCTGGGTGATTTGCCCACGGGAGGGGGGGGAGCTGCTTTAGAGGCGACGCTCCGAAAGGAGTCCAATTAATACAGTCAGGACTTGAGCAGCCTTTGGGAGCATCCCACTGCTCAGCTGTCCTGCAGTGAGTGGCACGCTGAGGAGCAGTTTAAGCCCATCTGCCATCTCTGTGCTCTGTGTCCAGGAAGGCAAAGACTCGCTGCCCACCTGCCCGGCGCCGGCTCCCGAGGAACAGACGCCCAGCGCTGCCCCAGCGCCCGCCAGCAGCGCCAGCTCCCCGAGCCAGAGCGAGCCTGTGCTGCTGAGGTGGGCAGAGCACGGGGCAGTCCAGGGAACCACTCCATATCCTGGGCTGGGAGGGACCCCCAGGGATTGAGTCCAGCTCCTGGCCCTGCACAGACACCCCAACAATCCCACCCTGTCTCTCAGAGCGTTGTCCGAACCCTCCTGGAGCTCTGGCAGCCTTGGTGCTGTGCCCACTGCCCTGGGGAGCCTGGGCAGTGCCCAGCCACCCTCTGGGGGAAGAACCTTTCCCTGAGATCCAGCCTGACCCTGCCCTGGCACAGCTCCAGCCCTTCCCTGGGTCCTGTCCCTGCTCACAGGGAGCAGAGGTCGGAGCTGCCCCTCGGGAGGAACTGCAGCCCTCAAGGAGTCTCCCTTCAGTCTCCTCCAGCTGAACAAACCCAGTGCCCTCAGCTGCTGCTCCAGACCCTTCCCCATCCCTGTGTCCCTGCTTTGGACCCTCTCCAACAGCTTTAGACGTTTTTTACCTCGTGGTGCCCAAAGTGCCCCCAGGACTGAGGTGAGGCCGCCCCAGCTCAGAGCAGAGCGGGACAATCCCCTGCCCTGCCCTGCCCAGGGATGCTGGGCCTGGTGCCCCCCAGGACATGGTGACCCTTTTTGCTGCCAGGGCACTGCTGACTCATTTGCATGCTTCAGCAGTGTCTCAGAGCAGTGTCCAGCACGGTGGCAATAATGGTTGTTGTTTCTCCATCTGTGGTTGGCGGCTTCTCCAGAGGCCACCAGATGGAAATAACAAATGCTGGTGGGAATGGCTGTGCCATTCTGTTCTGCTGAAGTGCAGCTGTGACTCCAGAGCAAGGAACTACTCTCTGAACCGTTCATTTATGTGCCAGCAGGTTTTGATGTGCATTGTTGTTGCTTTCTCAGCGCGGTTCAGCCAGAGAGCAAACCAGAAGAAGCGTCTGCTCCGAAGGACGTGGCCAGCCAGGCTTCCCCACCTTCCCTGTCCCCTGTCAGTGCTGCAAAGCCACCAAGGACAAACACCTCCTCACCTTCTGCTCAAGCAAGTGCAGCTCCTGCTCTGTCGACACAGGTAAGGCAGGGGGTGAACACGGGGAGCTTTCTGATGGTGCCCCGGCACCTCCTCTCCGCTCTCCTCCGTGGTGTTGCTGCCGTGCCTTTGGGCCCCGGGACGGGCTGGAAGGTGCTCCTGGCACATCAACCTCGCTCTTCTCCTTGCTCCCAAAGGAGCCCCGCAAGCTCAGCTACGCCGAGGTTTGCCAGAAGCCCCCGAAGGAGCCGCCCCCGGTGCCCGTCCAGCCCCTGCGGGAGCATCGCGCCAACATCGTCCCTCCCGCCAAAGCCGAGGAGGACGCGCCGGCCGAGAGGGCTCCGGAGAAGGCTCCTCCTCCCGAGAAGGCCGAAGGTCGGATGAAGGATTACTCCGGGTTCCGTGGCCCTGGAGGAGCTCCCAGGGGAGCCGCCGGGAAAATCAGGGAACAGAGGCGCCAGTTTGGCCGCAGATCTTCGCCTCAGGGAGCCCCGCGGCGCGTCGGCAAGGAGCAGTTTGTGCCGCCGCGGTCACCAAAGTAACGCCGGGCCAGCCCGGGAGCCTCTGTTGGGTCGGAGCTGTTGGGCTGAGGAGCAGCAGAGACTGGGAAGGAGGAGGAAGGAAGATTCAGGAAGGGGAATTCTGAGCTGGATGAGCGCGGCTCGTGCCGGAGGAGGAGTTGTGGAGGGTCCCAAAATTCATCTCTTTAGAAAAAAAAAACACAACAAAAAAAAGCGATCTCACGAATGCTGGAGGATTCCAATCACTATAAATAGAGAGATTATAATTTTTGTATTTTTTTTTTTTTTGGTTTTTTTTTTTTAATTTGCAGAGGGGGTTTTTCCTGCTTGAAAATCGGGTTTGGGGGCTTGTGAAAGTGGCGTTCTGACAAAGAGAAAGGATCTGACTTGGAGGAATTAACCCCGTCCCTC